CTGGGAAAACAAAAGAGAATCAGAAGCAGTGACTGAGAGATAGCCTGCACCACATACAGATAATGGAGGGAAAATTCCTTTTGGTGAACTGGAGCACAATGTTCTGCTTGCGTAAACTACCTCAGCAAAGAAAGTGCTAGGCCTTAACCTAACCATATCCCTATGCAAAACCAGAATAGGTTCCTTACAGGATAAGGCCACCATTCCAGACACTCACCTCGCAGGGGTTATGGCTACAAGCAAAACCACCTTGTGGGTGAGAGTAACGAGAGAAATGTCTTCTAACTGGTTCAAATAGTGGTTTCTAAAGTGCAGGGAGAACCAGATTCAGGCCCCAGAGGGTCATGGGGGAATGAACAGGAGGGGCTTCCTGTTCAAAGATCTTAAAATCAACAATTGAGAGATCAATGGTATCTGAAAAAAAAGATAGAAAGGGCAGAACATTGACCTTTGATAGTACTGAGATCAAAAAGCTGGTCCAGATCTAGCTGTAGTAAGATCTGAAACTCGCAGCAAGTTAAGTATGCCTTCCATGTCCGATAATTGACCTTGTGGGAAGTAGACTTCTAAGCAGTTAGAATTATAGGAATCACCGATTCAGAGATGCCCTTGTCTCTCAGAGCCTGTGCTTCAACAGTCATGCTGTTACGGTCAGTAACCATGAAGCAGGATGGTAAATCTGTCCTCGAGACAGAAAATCTGTACTATCTGCTAGAGTCCGCAGGGCGTCTGCCAGGAGTCCTACCATGCCGGCTCACCACACCCGACTCGGCTATTGCTGAGCAATAGGGATCACCAAATTGCCCTCCATATTGAAATCTGTGAAGCCTATCAGAAAGATGTTTCAGTAAGGCAATTGCATAGATTAGGGTGTACTGATCCCATGGAGCCACCAGATCATCCAATGCTTCTGCTAGAGGATCCCTGTACCTGAAGACAAACCTGGGAGGCCCACACCCAGCATCCCCCACCTACAACACAGGCCACGGAACACCTCTGGGTATAGAGACCAATCCCTCGGATCCAGGCATTGCAGACTGAAAGTCTGCCTGCCAGCTGTCCACACCTGACAGCCTACCATGAACTATTACCCAGGACAGGATGTGATCTACCTCTCTAGCTTTGGAGAGAATTCTGGTTCCTCCCTGATGGTTGATATACTTTACTGCTGCGGTGTTGTTTGACTGAATACGGATATGATGACCTTCCAGTAGAATGTCCCAACTCTGCCGAGTCAGCCAAATGAACCAAAGCTACAGGATGTTAATCAGGAGAGGAGACTCCTCCAACGAGCAAGTCTTCTGCACCAACAAGATACCCAAAACTCCGGTCAAAAGGCTAACATCCATTAAGAGGATCTTCCAAAAGATGGGAAGGGGGTTTCCCCTATTCCAGAGCTGGATTTCTGTGCAATCAAGCCAGGGACAACCTCATTCTCCGTACTAGATTAATAATTCTGTCCAGGGACCTAAATGACTTGTCCCACAAAGTGTAGAGCTCTGGAGTAAAACTGAGCAAATAGTGTAGCCTCCTTTGAGGCGGCCATTCTCAAGCAAAAGTGGAGAGTCCGAAAACTCCTGGGCAGTAGAGATTTAATCTGAAAATCGGAGAGTCTGAAGTTTCTCCTGTGGGGGGAAAGACCCATATCTGAACTATAGCCAGAGCAAGACCCAGATACTATGAATGATGACTCGGCTCCAGCATTGTTTTTTGCAGGTTCAGGATGCATCTAGGCTTCTGTAACATTTTGTAACATTCATACCCAAGTTAACCGATAGAGCCTGCGCTGACTGTTACCTCAACAGTGAGGTCGTCTAAGTATCCCTCGATAGTGCGGTGTGCATAATACTGGGGCCAGCACCTTGGTAAACACCTGCAGTGCAGATGGTACGCCACATATCAGACACAGAATCTGCATGACAGGGCACAAAAGCGTTCTTGTTGTCGCTGTGGTCAGAGTTGGCAAATAGCTAGGTGATGTGGACCATATAATCTTCTGTGACCGTTATAAAAATTGCAGCTGAAAGGGCAGAGGAAACAGCCACACTCGAAAGAGCTTAAGAGGACTGCAATTCCGTAAGAGACTCTTGGAGCAAAGGGCACCATCATTATAGGCTGCAGATGTCGGCACTATCAGTAGGCATGCTGCAAGCATCCCCGAAACTGAAATGTGAATGATTTTCTGTGTCCCTCAATGGAGAAGAAATATTATATTTCTCTGCTGATCCATTGCCAAACTGCCATTAAAGATGATAAAAAAACCCCATCAAGCTTTATTTATGCCCATTACCCAAGCTAGGCAAGTTTCAAAAGAATTGGTGGTTCTGTATATCAGATGCCCCTTTATTAAATATCCAATAGATTTACCATTTAACAAGAGAAGGGAAGTCCTGCACATTTCACCAACTCGAAAAAGATATGAAAGTCTAGAGTCAAGAGACAACCGTCACACCTATTTTTAGCCATATGTATTTTCCATTGAAATCAATGGAAACACATGTCATAAATGCTGTGATGTATCTTATGTTGACAATGGTTCATGTTGATGTGCATTTTTTACCTGTGTTACAATGCATGTTAACATATGTTTCAATTGATTTCAATGTAAAAGCATGTCAATTAAACAGGTGTAAATGCAGACTTAAACAGATTTTTAGTGTTGATGACATTCCACTATCTTGTTTGACCCCCAATGTTGAAGAATGCACAGCAATCTTTTATAGAGAGAGTCCTCAGGGTGCTGCATGTATAATATAAATATTTCTTCTCAGTGTTCATAAAACCCAGAATTTGCAGCAATTGGATTTTGGATGCCGAAAGGGAATTGCCAGTTAAACTGGAAAGTAGATGACTGACAAAAGCACAGATTTTTAAACTTTAGTCATTGTTCCTTCACATGGAAAAACCACAAAGAGGCTTTAATATTAAGTGAATATCGCAGGGACAATTCTCATGTCAGAACAGATTTGACTTGCATAGAAAAAAAAAAAAAAAAAAAAGGACCCGATATTTGGTAACAAAAGGAGTTCACACCCTGTTAGTGCTGTACACCAAGTTCATTATGGGAAAACAATCTCTCGGCAAGTAGGCACTTTGACACTTAGGAGTTACATAAGATACAAACATGAATCAACTGTGCAAATTACAAATCTGGGAACCGCAACGGTACTGTAACAGTATAGGAAAAACAACAAAATAATTTGCGTACCATTTGTTCCTTAATAAAATGCAAACAGGAGAAGAAAAAAAAACAATTGCTAACTTCCAGCCCAATAATGAGAGCCTTGTCCTTGGAGATATTGCTTACCTGTTCCAGAGGGAGCACAACAAAATGAATGAGTTAGTTACTTGCACCGGTAACAGAAAATGGTTGATGACTACAGTTCAAAGTATTTAAGGGAAGTTTTATGGATTTAAGGAATGGTAACTCACTCATTTAATTGCCATAAGAATTAAAAAAACAAAACATCAGATAATAATCCAGTTAAGCCCCTTGTTAAATGTTAGGCTCACATCAAGTAAACATGTATTTTTCTGTCCAAAATAAGCTAAACATGTTTATTCTGGAATAGCTGTGCCTTATCTGTATGCAATACAGTGATGCAGTGCCCATGGGTATAACAGCTCCAGTAGCAACTGTTGTGAATTCTGCGTAGCCCACAAGCATAAAAAAGGCAAGGAACATGAACAAACTGTCCACTGCAGGCATGAGGTTGTAGCTAGGACTGCCTAAAAGCTTTAGTTGTGTTTATTAAAGAATGCTGCCACCCAAAACTCTTGCCTATTTTGTTTAGGGTTGTTTATGATGGGACAGCCCATGTATAAACTTACAGGTTACATTTGAAGATGTACCTCTATCATCGTTTGATTTATTTAATGACTGTCAGGATTATATGTCAGCCTCATTGACATAAAAGGGCAATCCTCTGATTATCAGAAATCAAGCAGCAGCTTCTGTCAGATTTTAGCCATTATTTGTAATTTTCTGCTATGGAATGCAGAGCTATTATGTTAACAATCCCAGGATCTAAAAGCAGAGCTGCAGGTCCTAGTTTAGTCGAACCTCAGGACATGAACCATGACGTCATTACTCAGGTCTCATTCACAATAAAACAATCCGTTGTGGTGCATTAAAGTAGCCCATTCCTTAGGAATGGGATCTCAACGCACCACAGTAGATCAAAAAACACACCTAATCCTTTCACAGCAACGCCCCACTATGCACAGTATGTGCATTCTTATTTCGGGGTGCTATTCACAATGAATGGCTCTGCAAAGCACTTAGAGCAAGTGCATTGCAGGAACGTGCAGAAACACATGAAGTTAACTGTGTGTAGCCACAACATAAATGGGCCCCTAAGAGTGAGTAGTGCTTAGATGGTCACAGCAAGCCAAATACAATAACTATAAGAAGTCATATGGTGTTACTGCAAGTAGAGCTTCTTGTGCCACCATACAAGAAAATTGGTTCCTAGAGATTTTAGATTTTCTACTACCGGTCCTCTGAAAAATCAGAATTCTCTATTTAGGCTCATGCATCTTCCACTCTAGATCACCTCTTTAAAACACCACCACCACTTAAAATAGCAGACCCCACCTTACATCATTTTCAAACAATATTTTGGCCCGTTACTGGTTATATATAGATTTATGTAAAAAATGGCAACAAAATATTTAAAAATGCTAATGTTATATATGCTTAAAAAAATATTACTGTAACAAGGCAAAATAATCTCACCTTTGGTCCTATTGTATAACAAAACTGGAATGAAGGGATTGCATCTGAATATCCTACAATACTGTAGGGTGGGTAACACTCACTCCTTACACACACTTTATACATTCATCCTAATACAAAATCCTTGTACAGATATGCAAACTCTTTAAATATCTCACATATTCTTTTGCCATTTCTACAGGCATACAAGCCCAAATATTACCACACCTCTGGTTCAACAAAAATGACTGTCCATTATAAAACATGACATTTATAGAGTACATTTTGCATTGCTAATCAGAGAATGTTTTAGAGGCTGGACTCCTCTGAGCAGGGAATCTGGAAGTGAGGGTCTGAAAAGCGTCGTTTAAGTTTAGCAGTGGGTTCATATTCTAGCATTCCCTGTGCGGCCCCTAGCTCGCTTCCTTCAGGGACATAAACAGACTGGATACTGTCTGTTCTCCTCCCAGGTTGCTCTCTTCTCCGAACATTACTGGACTCCTCAGAATAGTCTACTGCCTGTGTTATCCCAGGAGGCAATTTTATATTGGCATTTGGCATGACAGGGTTACGCCTTGGACCCCTCATTTTTGCAAGAAATGAGGACGGCCTTCGCTTGATAGTTGCTGGAGGCACAGACAAAGTGAAGAGAGGTGCTTTGGTTTGAAGAAGTTTGGGATTCTCAACTGGTTGTGGCTTAACAGCAGAGTCCACCATACATGTTGCTGTAGAAAAAAAAACCATGATAATTATGTAGCCGTATGCTTGCTTACCTATTAAGCCAACTGCATGCATTCATTCATTAAAGGGACATGCAATGTGTTCAAATCTGACCAATGAAGTAAACAACTGAGAATTGACCAACTGGGCATTCTGTACTCAGCCTTTTCGATTTATAAATGCAGTACTAACAAAATCCTATTCACGAATATTGGATAATCTGCCAACATTACAAGCACCGTCGCACAATGTTCTTTAAGTTTGTTCTGGACTTTAAAAAACTCTGTGCCTTCTACACATTCAGAATAACATGCATTGTATTTGTTGCGTTGACTGTTAAACACAAAGTCACTTTTCTCATTCTTAGAAAATTCTGGGTAGCCTTTATTTGGACTAGTCGCCTAAGCAAAAAAGGGATTGCTCTCAGGTTTGGGTATTTATTTTCTACGTTAATGTGACAATCAGTGCTTTTTATCAGAATAAAAAGGATGAAGGCCGTGACACACTGCAGGCGAAGCAGCGCGGAGCGGTGGTGCTCTGTCTTTGCGAGCAGTGTGTCATGTCACTTTCTTCTCGGCACCTCAGCTTGCGAGAGCTCGCCGAGCTGAGCGTGCCGAGATGAACAATTTCAACTTCAGCCAATCGGCTCGCGCGTATAAACCGGCGCGACGGGATGCAACGTCTGCCCGGTTGTTACAGACGAGCCGATTGGCTGAAGGTGCAGTCAATCATCTGACTGCACTCAGCTCACACACTGCACGCGAAGCTCCGTGCCGGAGAGCTTTGCTTCGCTCTGCACGGCTTCGCGTGCAGTGTGTCACGGCCTTGATTCTAAAGATTTATCATTTTATTGGAAGGTGGATGGTTAATAGAACCATCTAAAATCACCAACAGATTGATGTCATTCCAAAATCCAGCTATGATTTACTCACACCTGCTCCCATAATTCTTACTCTAGAAAAAGGCCATCGATTATAGAGTATATAGAGTATAGGAAACATTTAGGAATTAGGAGTTATTAGGATTATATAGTGCAGTTTTCCCAATTCCTTGCAATGGATGTAACTCAGCAGAAGATTGTTTTTCCTCACTTTAAATATCCATAGTAAAGTTGATATTGGCAGTTGTAAAACATGTACTGTCTAATGAGTACCAGATGGTTGTAATGCATTTGGCATGCAGTAACAGAAGTAATATAAGGGGCACACTACCTTAATACTGACCTTCCTTTTCTACATGAACAGGTCTATCATCCAGTAAACTCTCAGTGCTATTTGACGTTTCAGAGTCCACTGTCTCTTCATCTGATCCACGTTGTTCAAGCTCCGGTAGCCGGTAAGTAATGTCCTCTCTGTAAAATAGAAAGCATGAAGGGAAAATAACACACTCGATAAGAACGTAATTTATTATTACACTCGTGTGTCTTCCTGTTTGTGTATGCCAAGTCTCACTCACTTCTCATCCTTGATAGACTGTATCCTCTCTATCAGGAAATCTGATTCACGGGCCACTTCAGAATCTGTCAACTGCTTTTCTTGCACCGCCTCCAGATCAGGTAAACCATTTCCACTAGGAGATGGGCTCTTGCTCTGTCATTTAAGAAATGTAATCAACCACAGGTACAATATATACATGCAAGTCCATCTAATGCTAAACTTTTGTGTGGTAGCTTTGGAGTGGTGAGGGTTTGGAACCTCTGTCATGTCTTTATTGATTATCTGTGTCCCTCCTAGGGAGGTTGGACTATTTGTCCTGGCGACCAAAGTGAGGGAAAATGCAAACGTTTGAGTTTTCACTAGAATTGTAAAAGAGGGAAAATCTTTCAAAGGGGACACTTGTTCTGGTGACAGCTCAGTGGGAATATACCTCATTTTGGTGAAATATCTTTTTACTTCCACAGGACAGGAAGTGCAGGAACATCTCACAACTAGACACAGATGGCAAAAATTACCAATATGAAAAAAAGGGTTTGGCTTTAGATGTACTTAAATTTCCTTACAATTCACCCTTTTTGTGACCAGGTACCCCAGCCACAGTGACTTTTTGCTGATTTTGACTTCTGAACTGGTGTTTAGGTAACAAAGAACGTTAATGCAGTAAAAGTCAAATTCCCTGTAAAGGCTTAGCCGTCCCAAAAGTGATATTTCAGCTACAGGAGGCGTTTGGCGAATGGAGTTTTTCACTACTTGGTGTCTCTTGGGGACCACAGTGGCCACTGCTTCTCAAGCTTTAGCGCTGCTAAAACGGGGATGTCCTTTGATTACTATTTCTCCTGTTGCACTGTTTGCAACTTAAAATACAAACCCAACAGGGAAAGTGACACCTGCAGAAGGTGTGCAGACCTGGGATAATAAATACAGAGATCCCACCACTGCAGTCCCTGAAAGAAACGGTTTAAATTCAAGGTGGTTTAATTCTCAAGCATCTGGCACAAGCTGAAATATCAGTGTTGAAATAGTCCTTTAAAACGAACACAATTTTCCCAAATCTCTAAGAAGCTTTAGATCAGTGCAGTCCTAAAGATGCTCCACAGCCATTAATTTTGAAAAGCAAATAGTAGATCTGGTGCACGTAGTAGGAAATCCTACAGAAAGCCAATTTTAAATGGACAAATGCAAATTAATCATCACTCTAGCTGTTTATACTGGACTTTAAGAGGCTTTATGGCCCTTTGGAATTGCAAAACAGTGAGAAAGAATTGTAAGGAGATCTCTTTTCCAAGCTGGGGACTGCGATTTAGACTGCAGTTAAATGGATAATTTTGCCTTTAGTTGGCACAAGTTTTTTTTAAACAATTTAGAGAAAAACAGCCATTTAGAAAAGAGGAAAACCATTTTGGAAAGTTAAAAACCTTGAAATGGAACAAACCAAATCCACAAATAATAATGCACCGTATTATTTCATAAGGCTTTTGTCCATTATAATTAGTCTCTGTTCTAATTATCTGCCGTTCCGTTTTAGTGATGTGGGTGGTTTTATGCATGCAGAGGTGGGGCAAAGCAACTATACCTACCAGGAAGCCATCAATAGGGGAAATAAATCGTAAATGACCAGGCCATGCCTGCCGCAAGAAAAGGAGGAGACAACAACTCTCAGCTTTTGAAATACTTCAAATCAGTACATTACACTTTATTTATATGATTTTATGAATTGTTTATTTAATAGTGTTCCTTTTAAAGAAATGCGGACATCCACATTCAGCCCAGATCCTGACTATTTTATACTTACCTCCCCCCATCGCTTTACCTCTGTTGCAGCTGCCACCAAAATATCTGGTGTTATCTAGTTTTTAACTACATTTACTAATAACTATACAATTGAATTGGCTCTACAGGAATTAATCAGGGTTCAAAAGGCAGCATTTGTTATATCATTCGGTGGATGTAACAAGATATTTTCTAATCTACATTGCAAGTATGCACAGTTTACTTATTTAACAGCTATAATTTACACATAGGAAGGTATGACATAAAATAAGCAGTTACAACGATCATGATAATATTACATTACTATATAATACAGAGTTATGAGCGGACTTGTCACTTACTGTGTTTTGCCTTAGAAGGGAGAGTCTGCAAACTGCGCGTGTCTCTGCGGCTTCAAGAAGGCCAATTTCCTGCATTTTGATTTTATATTGTCTTAGCTGTTCTTTAATTAACATCTCCACACATCTAAAATATATGAGAACATGGATTTTAATCTGTATTGCACCCAATGCTTATAAAAGCAGTCACATGCATTGAATGTAGGCCTATTACTTACGCGGTAGCTTTTGAGACCTCCTTCATGCTGGTCAAAGGGTCATAATTATCTGGGCAGCGAAGCAGGCAGGGTGCAAACACTATGGCCAAAGAATTTGTTGACATGCGATTCACATCTTCTAATAGAGCAACCCTATAAATAAGAAAATCCTAGTTATATCAATCCATCATACGTACATTGGTTTGTTCTGCTTGTGTTGCTAAACTTTTTTTTTTTACAGTCCATTTCCACATTGTAAGTGATTAGCATTTATTGTGGTAATGTAGAGGTGCAGTGATGATGTATATGTGTGCACTTTTTCATGACTCACATTGCAGGCTTTCTTCATTAAAAAACATTATTATACAGGATTTCTATAGCACCAACAGTTTGCGCAGAGATTTACAATATAAGGAAGACATTACAATCACAATACAATTCAAGACAAGATGGTGAGGAGGGCCCTGCCCCTGAGGGCTTACAATCTAAAAGGGAGGGGGAAGTGATACATGAGGAGGTAGCTGTGTGGGAATGAATTGTTTGAGAATGTGATGGTTCAGTGGTTAGGTTGAGGCGGGATAGGCTTCCCTGAAGAGATGAGTCTTAAGGGATTGGCTAAAGGCAGTCAGAGTGGGAGATAGACGCACAGGTTGGGGTAAAGAGTTCCAGAGGATGGGAGAGACCCTAGAGAAGTCCTGTAGGCGAGCATGGGAGGAGTTGACAAGGGAGCTGGAAAGCAGGAAGTCTTTGGAAGAGCGGAGGGGACAGTTACGGCGATACTTTGAGACAAGGTTTGAGATATATCTGGGGGCAAAGTTGTGGACGGCTTTGCTTTGTAAGTGGTTGTTAATATTTTGAATTTTATCCTTTGGGCTATTGGAAGCCAGTGCAGGGATTGACAGAGGGAGGTTGCAGAAACTGAGCGGTTGGTTAGGTGAATGAGTCTAGCAGCAGCATTCATGATAGACTGAAGAGGGGATAGCCTGTGTAGAGGTAGGCCAATATGTAGTTTATATTAGGCCTAAAGCCTAGAAATTACACATTTTCTCCACAGGAAACTCAGTCCGACACCGGGTTCTAAACAGCTGCCCCCCTCCCTGTTATTCATTATAACACGATCAGTGAACACCAACTAACACTTTTTACACAATACACTGTTCAAGGTGGGGGGGTCGACTATGAATAGGTGTGTGTGTGTGTGTGTGTGGGGATTGGAGAGGTCACTTGTACTATTCACACATTACTTGCAAAGCACAGAGGTGGCCATTTCCATGAGGATATGAAGAGGACAGATAACAAAAAAAAGTTTGTGGGTTCTTACACAGCAGCTGCATATGCCTGTTTCATGTACACTCAGTGTACATTGCTGGCATATGTGTTTAAAAAAAATACCTCAGCAAAGGTGGAAATGGGCTTTAAGCTTAAAGTTGTGTTTTAAGGTGCACTGCCTTTGAGTCACAAAACACATCAGCACTCTGTTGGTTGACAGTGGTAACGCATTTAAAATCATGCTTTTACTTACTTGACAAGGTGAAAAATAAGTCTCTCCAAGGTGTTATAGTTAGCTTGTGGAAGCTGTCCAAGAATTTTGTAAATGGTGCAAAGCTGTTCTTGCTTCTCTGGCAACTCTGAAGTAGACAGCACATATTACAGGTAAAGATACAAATTGTGCTTGCTTGACAAATAGTGGTTATGCACATTGTACTCACCCACAGCTTTTAGGAACTCGCTGTATAGTGCAAATGTCATCAAAGGCTCAGGTAGTTCACGTAACCATTGTTTTAGGATCCCAGTGATGGCATGGATTGCATACTTGTCTAGCTTCACGGAGGCGGGGTCTGTTTTCCGATCCAAATAAAGACAAAGTTATTACATAGTGTACACATCAGTATACAAAATAGGTGGGAAAGCATACAATTCATATAATGAGAAAACTAAACCAAAACATAACATTTAAGTGCATCTAAAGTTTACCATTTGATTTTATATAATCATATATAATAAAGCTGTGAAGGTTCTCATTCATCCAGGTCATGGTATATCTGTAAAAAATAAGTAAAAGCAACTGGACTTGCTGTATTTTTCTTTGAGACGCTCCACTGGTCATCCAGCCAGCTTTCTCAAGTCAGAATTGAGAAAGCTAGCTGGATGACCAGTGAAATGTCTTCAAGAAAAATACAGCA